GTCCTCGAGAAAAAATTTGAGAAGCTCGGGCCTTCGCTAATGAACACCTGCAACGCCTAGAAGAACGTCTACAAGACGGCCGACATAGCTGAGAAACACGGCCGAGGAAGGCAACTACGGCTGCAGGTAATGCCACCCAATTATCATCGCCTCCGAGGGGACAGGAGGGTGGTGAATGCAAGATGGTCGTGCTGAGGAAGAAGAAGAACAGTATGAAAAGACCAGGTGCTGCCAAGGCGCCGGAGACATTACAACTGCTTCCAGAAGAAAGGCCGGTACAATTAGTGTCTACCTCCGTAGCAGCATTAGATAACAGGTCCGTACCTCGCGAAGTAGCCATACCAGACCCAAGCACCCCTAGAGTCATAGGGGTTGGGTTCACTCGGTATCCAGATCTTGCTACCCTTATTAGGTAGGTCTGCAGCGGTTTTTACTCGTCTCAGGTCGAACGGGGCTTCTTTCCTAGCCCTATCGTCTTTCCAGGATGCCTCCGGAAAAGTTGAACAGTTAGGACACTGCTCACCCAGGGACGACCATTCGGGAAAGCCAATACCTCTTAAATCGGTCGTCTTGCCAGTATTTGGCCATCAACCATTACCCCCACGAGTCCAACCCAATTTGGTCGAGCTGAAAGGTCGCAAATCTCTCTAGACTTCACTCAACCCCCGTGGTCTCAACTTTAGTCATTCGTCGGACTATCGTGTGGATGTATGGCCACGTCACTGCCGGCCGGCGACCTGCTAACCGTGCTCGGCAGTTCCAGATCGGACTCACGTAAGCGGGGGCCTCAAGGTACAAAGTACCCGGGAACTTATCCCGACGGTCCCATTCTTGGCATCAGGATCGTGGGTGCGCTACTACCCAAGGCCACGTAGAGAAGGTGTAACCGTACTTAAACGCCTTACACTCCCGGCGATCTTCCCTGCGGTGTACATAGAGGACTCATGTAAGCGGGACGCTTGTCCCGACAGTCCTCCCTGGTTGCGGGAACGTGGGTTTGCCAGCCCCATAGGCTTACATAAGCAAGTCCTCCTTGCGGGAAGGAAGGCCGGTACAGACGAATAGTAAGGTGGTGCTCAACGCCTTCCGCAATCATGTGCGGTGGGGGGGGGGGCTTTAATGCCCATTTCCCATAATGGAGGAACACAGGACTGACGCTCGTGGCCGGGTACTGACAGATCGGGCTACGGGCCTCGGGCTCCTATTACTTAATAATAATAATATT